CGCCTTGTTATGTCTCGGACGCGCTACATGATAGGCGTCAATTATCCCAACAGCCATGACCACCTCTATCTCGGCCAATACTGGTCCAAATTCACTCATTCTTCGACGTACTCAGAGGTGGGACCAGTACCGTACATGCATTCGTGGCCTCGTCATCTCTCGGATGCGCTACATGACAGGCGTCAATTATCCGAACAGCCATGACCACCTCAATCTCGGCCAATACTGGTCCAAATTCACTCATTCTTTGCCTGGCCCCACCGCTGAGTGATGTACTCAGAGGTGGGGCCAGTACCGTACATGCATTCGTCGCCTTGTTATGTCTCGGACGCGCTACATGATAGGCGTCAATTATCCCAACAGCCATGACCACCTCTATCTCGGCCAATACTGGTCCAAATTCACTCATTCTTCGACGTACTCAGAGGTGGGACCAGTACCGTACATGCATTCGTGGCCTCGTCATCTCTCGGATGCGCTACATGACAGGCGTCAATTATCCGAACAGCCATGACCACCTCAATCTCGGCCAATACTGGTCTAAATTCACTCATTCTTTGCCTGGCCCCACCGCTGAGTGATGTACTCAGAGGTGGGGCCAGTACCGTACATGCATTCGTCGCCTTGTTATGTCTCGGACGCGCTACATGATAGGCGTCAATTATCCGAACAGCCATGACCACCTCTATCTCGTCCAATACAGGTCCAAATTCACGCATTCTTCGCCTGGCCCCACCGCTGGGTGATGTACTCAGAGGTGGGACCAGTACCGTACATGCATTCGTGGCCTCAAGTGTGGATAAACGCCCAAAAAACTTGAAGTAAGAATATAGTTATAATAATGCCACTGAAATATTTCCACTTCCAACGAATGCGTAGGTCGAGTTAAAAGTAACGTATCAAGGTGACCCTGACATGATGAAAATTCTGCCCTCGCGTGCCCAACTGAAGGAGCGGCGCAAAGTCATTGGTCGACAGAAAAGAGGAGGCTGGGAGATGAACAATCTTGCCGAGCTTGTTGAGTGGGGTCAAGCGCATCGGTGCGACACCGCCGAGGCATTTTTTGACCGTGGTGAAGGATTCACGTACGACGAGTTAATGGAGCAGGATGAAGAATATCGCTGTGTACTATTTTACATAAATATACTATGTGTTGTATCATTGACATACAGTGTGTAGCCGCAGGCTGATTGTACTGGACGTCTTTGAAGGGACGTATGCCGATCAAGGCGACGACAAACCCTACGTTGGACTAGTGTTGTCCTCGCGGCAGAACATGTGGAATATTTCATGGGCCCACGAATGTCAAGGGTCGTCGTTGGCTATATCAACTGACGGAACGTACAAACTGCATTTTGGTAATACACAGCACGTTAGTAATTGCTAGCCACATTCAATATTCTACTATTCCTATCCTTTAGGTGGGTGGACTTTGATTGACTTGGGCGCTGTGTACACTAAGTACTCCAGAGGCTGCGTACGCCACAAATTTCTGCCATGGACGTACCTGTTCGTCCGAGCGGAGTGCAAGGAGGCGTACTATAAACTCTTCGATGTTACATCAAGTATGTACACCACCTTTTTCAACACAGACCTCGTCCCTGCAATTGTGTCAATTGACCACACCGGGTACATCATGGCTGCGTTGACCTCGAAGTGGCCAGCTATCCGCACGATATCGTGCTATATCCATTTGAAACGCAACGTGCGGCGCCACAAGCACTTGTTAATCAACAATGACAACTACGACAAAGTCAAGGGTGATATCGAACGTATGTGGCTCGCACGGACGTCGCACCAATTCCAAATCATTTCAACCACTTACATGTGGACGTGGAGCACGAAACTCGGCGAAGTGACGTTTTCGCAGTGGTTTACCGAGATCTATCTCACTCCACCCTGTGATCTGTGGTTTTCTACAGCGTCTGGATGCCCAGGTGTCGTCGCCCATCAACAGCACATTGAAAGCCACCACAAGGGAATCAAGACAGTAAGTTGTTTCTTGAGAACAATTAAGAATATACATTCGAAATAGGTTTGTGCACATGAGCTGCGGGCCTTGACCAGTGTGGTACTCCAACAATCATCGATGGTTTCAACATCGATGCAAGACTGCGGACATTGCCGCAGCGAAAACAGAACGGAAGGCCGCGACATCCACAAGGTGGTCTGTCAGTTGAGACTCGAGATGAATTTTTCTCGCAAGAAAACCTACTGAAGCGTATATCGAAGTTGCCGTTGAGCATTGTTGGCTACAAGTGCTGCAAGGACTTCAAAGTGTGTGAAGATCAAGATAACAGCTCAAGAGAGTGGAGCCTCCACACTGCCATCGGCGTTGTGGTGTCGTACCTTCCACAGAAGAAGCGTTGGGCAGCACAATTCGAAGTCAATGGTGAACGCGAAAACGTTCGCTTCGACGGCGTCAAAGTTTCAAGTGCGATTCATGCTGCATTCATCGGAGGCGTTGACGTGACAGGCGGGGTTGCCTTAGATATGTGACCACATTCATTATAATTGATATAAACATATATGCATTTCTTGTTAGTACATAACTCAGGGGTGGGGAAACCCCAAAACCAGTATTGGCCGAGATTGAGGTGGTCATGGCTGTTCGGATAATTGACGCATATCATGTAGCGCGTCCGAGAGATAACAAGGCGACGAATGCATGTACGGAATTGGCCCCACCTCTGAGTACATCACTCAGCTGTGGGGCCAGGCGAAGAATGAGTGAATTTGGACCAGTATTGGCCGAGATAGAGTTGGTCATGGCGGTTCGGATAATTGACGCCTATCATGTAGCGTGTCCGAGAGATAACAAGGCGACGAATGCATGTACGGTACTGGCCCCACCTCTGAGTACATCACTCAGCGGTGGGGCCAGGCAAAGAATGAGTGAATTTGGACCAGTATTGGCCGAGATTGAGGTGGTCATGGCTGTTCGGATAATTGACGCCTGTCATGTAGCGCATCCGAGAGATGACGAGGCCACGAATGCATGTACGGTACTGGTCCCACCTCTGAGTACGTCGAAGAATGAGTGAATTTGGACCAGTATTGGCCGAGATAGAGGTGGTCATGGCTGTTGGGATAATTGACGCCTATCATGTAGCGCGTCCGAGACATAACAAGGCGACGAATGCATGTACGGTACTGGCCCCACCTCTGAGTACATCACTCAGCGGTGGGGCCAGGCGAAGAATGAGGGAATTTGGACCAGTATTGGCCGAGATAGAGTTGGTCATGGCGGTTCGGATAATTGACGTCTATCATGTAGCGCGTCCGAGAGATAACAAGGCGATGAATGCATGTACGGAACTGGCCCCACCTCTTAGTACATCACTCAGCTGTGGAGCTAGGCGAAGAATGAGTGAATTTAGACCAGTATTGGCCGAGATGGAGTGATTAGATGGCGGCGATGATGACGCAAGATTGTATTAGCTATCAAAATTGTTAAGTAAAATAGCTTATGCATGTCAAAATATTTACACGCGCAAGTCCCCCGATTCTGTAAAGTTGTTATTGAAAAAACACGCGTGATTCCCCCACTTTTCATAACACGAGTAAAAACCCCAAAAAGCACGCGTGAAAACACTTTTCCCCTATGAAAAGCAACTTAGGCGGCCTCCTCACCGCAGCTTAGCCACGAAGTCCACGATTTTGGCTCCATCTAGTCTACGGATAGGGATAAAATATTTTCTCCGAAATCGACGATATATAATCCCTTGCTTTTACTTTACTTTCGATTTTACGGAAAAAGAAAAAGAGAAGTCATCTCCGAAATCGCCCTGTTGTGGATTGTCACCATTTTAA